TCCCCACCACTCTGCTCCCCACTCACACCGTTCCTAGCATTCCTCCACTTTCTTAGGTGTTTAAAAAGTCTTCTTTGCTGCCAATGCGTGCCCGCACCCCCCCGCGCCCTCACCGCCCTGCTTGCGGCCACCCACACCGCCCCCCCTCACCGCCTCACCGTCCGCACCACTCTGCTGCCCTCCTCACTCACACCGTTCCTTCCAAGTTTTTAAAAGGCTGCCAATGCGTGCCGCACCAGCTTGCGGCCACCCACACCGCCTCCTCCCACACCGCCCACCGGCCGCTGCCCCGCGCTCCCATGCTCCCACGCCTTGACCGCCCCCACCACCCTCACCGTACCACTCTGCCTCCCCACTCACACCGTTCCAAGCATTCCTAGGCTGCCCCTCACCGCCCACACCGCCCTCGCCACCACCCACACCGCCCCCACAAGCTTGCGGCCACCCACACCGCCCCCACCACCCACACCGCCCTCGCCGCCCTCACTGCCCTCGGCACCCACACCGCCCTCACCACGTACACCACCCCCACCATCCACACTGCCCTCACCAGCTTGCATTCACAATTCCACCGCTCCCACCCTCTCCGCCTCTGAGCATCTCGTCTCTTGCCTCTCTCGTCCTGCTCCTCTTACCTTTTCGCCGTTCTGCTTCCCCTGCACCCACACCGCCCCCACCACTCACACCACCCCCACCACCCACACGGTGGTCTCTTTAAGTTGTGTCTGTGTTTCAGCAACATCACAGCATATTACTATTATCACTGCTACTACACTTACTAGTACTATTACAATTTCTTACTTTCCTTACCAGCTGTACAGCCAACCTTTCAACAGTTAGCAGTCGACCAGGCCGGTGTCGAGGTGGTCAGTGTCGAAGACAAGAGGAACGAAGAATGTCAGGGGTATATATATATACATATCTATATGTCTTATATGTATGCATGTATGTATGTATGTATATGTATATGTAGCTATATATATATATATATATTTCGTGTATATTGTAAATATACATATAGAAGCTTGTTCCCCTTTGGGGGTCGGCGGCACTGGCGGCAGCCATTAAATGTTCAAGCTATATTCAAGCGCTTAGACGAGCTCTCGTATTCGAAGAACCCTTGCGTGTTTGGTGAAGATCTATGCCAATTCGCCTGTCATTTCGCAGGAAGAGTCGATTGGGTCTCGCAGTTGGAATCAACCACCAGAAGAAGTCTCCTCGTGTCAACGACATATATCAAGCTACAGCAGTCCTCTTGCTTTCTTCACAGTTGAATGAACTAGTAGGTTAAAGGGTGTATGCGCTCTGCGATTTCAGGTTGAGAGCTGTTGGAGTTCTCCTCACAATGCTACGCATTAGGCGCGCTCTTTTATCCCTTATTATCGTTGGCCTATTGTTGGCTGTGGAAACCTATGGCTGCTGTCCTCCAGTGCTTTAGTCTGTAGGATTTAGGGGAGACCTTTACGTTGGTATTTCTACTTGGCGTAGAGCTCTCAGATTTCATGTTTGAAAACTACGTTTGAAAACTACAGACAGTCTCCTTCAAACGTTTTTTATTGAAAGTTTAAGCTCCAAGAGCTATGTTGAGTAGGAAGGGCTCATCTTGCGGAGTAAAGTAGAGGTCGGAAGCTTTTCATTTGATATTACAGGCTACTCGGCTACTCTCGCGGCTCCCTTCTTCTTCTATCTTATCAACTGACCAATCATTAGAAGAATTATCCTCAAACGCTTTCTTGTTACAAATTCTTGTGCTGTTGTAGGTGCGCTTGTTTTTTTGGGTTGAATTCTGATGTAGTACAGCACTTTATCAAAAAATACAAAGCCATCTCTGTATAAGGCGCATTGGAACGATCCTCTTCTTTTTTCTCCAGAATTCACAGAAATCTAAACTTATCTCTAAACTCTAAACATAATCAAGGGGTTATGGCCTGCCCTCAATGTTCTCATTCGCTGCTATTCGTTATAAAAAACTGTCCGATCTGTATGATCTGTCTTGTTGTTGTTTCTTGTTCACAAGCAATTTGCCAGCTGTGTTATTCGAAATTGCAGAAGTTTTGTTAGTTATTGTAAAACAGTCGAAGCGCTCTCCTTCCTTGCCATTTTTATTCAGCATTTGGACAAGACTCTGCATCATGTTTGGTGTTAAGGCTTCGGGCGTACGGGCTACAAGCTCGCAATCATTTCCTTATTTGTTTTGTCCCAACCACTACGTATGTGTTCTCTGCTGGCTTGTTTTCAAGAATTTAGAAGCTCTCAAATTCTTATCTTCTTAGTCAAACGTCTTCCATTGCAGGAATAATTTCAATTCCGAAACTCTGAAAAGGACACAAATTCAAATCACACCTTCTAGTACACACGCGCTCTTGCAGTCGTAGAGGAAATTTAAAAAAACAAATTACAAAGTAAATCCAGGTCCTGGATATTGAGACGAAGATTTCGACAACGATTTAAATTGTAAAAAAATAAAAACATCAAAAGTTAAATATTTAAAGTATTCAAAATTTCCTTTATTGAAAAGTTTTAAAATTTCAAAAACTTACATAATCAGATTTTTTAATAAAGCTTAAATATTCAAAATTTCCTTTTTTCTCTTATTGAAGATTTCAACAAATATATAAGATAATTAAATATTTTTGAATACAAGAAACAGTATCCGTCAAATAGAACATAAACGTTCTACGTACATAGCCTTATAGTTGCTTCTGTGATTAATTGGGATGAACTGGCAGTTGTCATGCCAATTTGCTGCAGTCGAAACTCTAGCATGTCACTGGGGCGTCTACACGTACTTGACCTGTCCGAAAAAACTTGGGAACTTCGATGGCGCTCGTTGCTTGCGCTTAATTCATGTTTCTGTGGCTCTCGGCACCCTGTGCATTAACTCGGCACCCGACGCATTGGCAGGCAGCGTTGAGGCAAAGAGTGGCTCTATCAAGGTTCTCTTGACTGCGGCACGCCAGGCACGAGATGCAGCACACAGCGACTGCAGTCAGCGTCATGGAGATGATGGACACGTAGCCACTTTGGAGCCACTCGTAGGCTAAGACCCCTATCGGAAAAACCACGAGCAAGTAGACACCCACCCACGCCAAGGTGCCAGCATGGTCACGAAGAACCCGAATCCAGGAGTGCGATATAGCAACTGACAGCACAGCAGCAAACACCAAAGGAGGCCACGAAGATTCTGCTGTCAAGAACATATCGATGGACAAAAAGCCCCTTTCCACCAGCTGCCGACGGAAGCTCAAAGCACGGTGGGCGTGCACTGGTATGCAAAGAGGTCCGGCTTGCCGAGCCAGGTACGTGTAGTTACTTGCAGGAGTTGCATTCCCAGCCAGCGTTGCATTTTCCACAAATGCAGCATCCTCGCAGTAGCTATTGAGATCAGTACCCATTGCACAGTCTGGCACACATGTGGCGATAGAGTCAGCGAAGCTTGACTCGTTCGCCGTGCAGAGAAACCAAAACTCTTTTCCCTTCTGATCAAAAACGCCACATTGCGTACCTCTTTTGTTCGTGAGCCTCACGAACTGGTGTCGCTCCTCTTGCAGTGTTCCTAATAAAATACAGATGGCAAAGGATGCTAGACACACTGCCCATAGGCATACGCATCCCGAGTCGGTGCACCGTCGAGCGACCTCCTCTGGACTTTTGATCTGTTCTGAGTCGTCTTCAATGACTTCACTAGCATCAGAACCAGTACTGGTGGCTTCTGAAGCGTCCGAGGCGATGGAGAACCCTTCAGCGTCACCATCTACTTCCAGCCCACCACCACATACATAGGTCCACATCTACACATACTTGTCCAAGGCGGCTGTCCAAGCCCAGGGAAACGGCACAGGTCTGAAAGAGCCTTCACGCCACACCGCCGGGAAGCACGAAAAGTGTATGGAAAACCTATATCCGTTGGTGTACTGAGCTGCAGTGTGATGACTCTGTTCAACCCAAGCAAACCACCTATGCTTACTGCTGATGCTAGGACAGATCTGTCGTCCCACCGTGTGCTCAGGACCACAACGAGTCGGAGACCACTGATGCAGAGCCACAACCGGGCACGTACGTTGTCATGTCATGGTGCAAAGGCGGTCTGCCTGCCTACAACAGCCAACAGACTGTAGGATCGGAGGCACACATGATGTTCCCCCAAAACTACACGATTGCAGCGATCGGGTTTCCCCGCCTTTGCTCCATAAATTCTTGGGGCATCTATGAGAATCTATGACACATCTGTATGTGCAATCCATTCTGCCTGAGGTCTTACCACAGCAGCCTAGCTGAAGTCGTGCACGATAGGGGCTTTAACCACCTCCTCAAAAGTCTATGCTCCAGTTACGGCTTGACTTGCAGACTGACAGAGCGAGCGGAAAACAACACCGGAACAAGCTGTGAGAACCTCGCAGCGTGCTGGCCGGGTAAGAACTGGAACGCAGCCGAGGTGCTTGGGTATTGGCCGCAGTCTACACGACCTTTCTCTCTGTCTCAGGGACTCCTCTGCATCTTAGTCGTCTTAGCCGATGTCTGAGCGCGTCACGTCGAATCAACTTTTCGTACAAGGATGCTTGCGAAGGCGACGAAGCCGTGATGACGCAGTAGTGAAAGGGAGCCTGTTACGCACAAGGCCCAGGCTCGCATGTCGCCACTACCCTGCCGGCCCTGCCTCGGAGGATGCCATGGCACCAGGAGTTGCGGTTCAATTTCTATTGAGTTCTATCATGTTCTATCGTGTCTACAGCTTTCGGATGCCCAAATCGTCCTCTACCCTCTACCTCTTCAAGCACACCCCCAACATCCCCCAACTAAGTTTCATCTTGCTGCTTGCCAAGCCGGAAACTGATTGCTCTGGGCTCACCGGTGTACTGAAACGGAGACGCACGAGCCACAACCACAAAGTCGGAAAACTCGAAAACCAGACCTTGCAACTCCCGGAAGCAGCGGCATTGGCGGTGCTTTTTTGACAATCATCCTGCTACCTTGAAGATGTTCACGGCTCCTTCGAGCCACTCCACCTCGAGTCAGTGCTGACGGCCCCGCTGCCAAGTGTTCGAACGTGGCCTGCGTTCGCAGAGTGCGAGTGGACTCAACATCCAGCTTGAAGCCGGCAGCCTGCACGGATGAACGAACATGTAACGCGGTTGAATGCTCTATGTTGTTGGCATTCCGGAGATACTGTCAACCGGCCATACAGCAGCTGCGTGATTTTCATCTGAAGCAACACACCATGTCAAGTGGTGACACTGTCTTATATTATGTGCCAGCTGCAAGCTTTGTCGGTCCCCAGCTGTAGACATGCAGGATTCTGCTCCAGTTTGACGGCCCGAAACCTTGTAGCTAAAGCTTTCTTCTTGATCCACCAAGACATAGATGGTCATGAATGAACCCCCATTCCCCGAGTTTTCACCTGTTGGTGGGAAGATACGTCGCAGTACAAGTTCTGTTGTTGTGACCAATGCTACAGTAACAAGTCTCCCTGAGATGGCTCCACATGCCACTGCACGCCAGCACGCTTTAGCGACTGAACTTTGCAGTGCCATCGTAGAAGACAAACGCAGCAAGCAGGCCGAAAAGGTATGTCCTGCTGTGGAGGTTCGATATAACCCTCGAATTCGCAAGCTGGAAAGGATACCTTCGCACACGAGCACGAGAAGGACCACGCTTCAACTGCGAGATCTGGGAAGCTGCGTCTTTGCCAAGACTGCAGTGACGTCTTTACATACTTGCCCGGTATGCAGATTGCCGTTTTGGTATCCTGCACATTGGATCTGGAACCAGTGAAGGGGCCTCGGCGTCAAGCAGCACGACAGGGGACATTCAGTATAGAAAAACGGTGACAACGATGTAAGCTACAGCAACTTCAGAACATCACTCAAAAAAGACGTGGCTGTTGACCCAGAGCCTGAGTTGTGAGCTCCTGTGTTTCTTGTAACTTGCACCCAGGCTTCGGCGCTGACACTATCGAGCTCACTTTTATGCGGTTCATCTCGGCAGATCCGGCGCATTCCGGCGCAGACATTGTCGGCGCTGAGTTGAAGTCCGTCGTGCACAGTCCCGGTGCTAGCTGCCAGCTCGTGTGCACAGAGATCGACACTGATCTGAGCATCAGGAGTCAGCTGGTTCTCCCCGGTCCTCTTTGCAACATACTTCGCCGCTCAGAGCGGTCAACGACATGGTGATGATCGAGCGAAATTTGGGATGCCAGTCGCAAGTCGTTTCGGGATGAGCTGTGTCCGCTGTGCGCAACACCCACCCAGCTCTGCTCAGTATGGCGTGGCGAATGTTCAAGCTGGTGTTGCAATTATGATCTCACTCACAAAGCAAGGCCTCTACGACTTTCTGGGAACTTGTCCAGTCCCTGGCCATTTCTGTCCACACAGGCTGACACGGAATACAAGGCCCAGGACAACGTTGGAACGCACCTTGCGTTGACATGGTTCGCCCCTCCATGCTGAGACCTACACCACAGGGCAAACGGAAATGCCGTAAGGGATGTATCTGTGGCTACATCCTGCAAAGGGCGCACCATGACAACACCATTCCCCTGGTCGCATGGCGTCTTAGGTTGGCAAGGGCAATGGCCTGGCAAAATGGTGCTTCCATGCGTTCTTTGCTACCCTGGTGAAGGTGCTGGCCTCGTGAGAAGCCGGAATGTGCTCCATGACCTGGCCGTATCTGGCCGTAGCCGGGCCCAGCGAAACTGAGCCTGGAACCCCTGCCTCGAGGCAAATCACCCAGTCGAAGTGCCTCATGTCAGCTTAGTGCGGAGCTTGCACAGCCGCACAGAGCTTGGCACCTTCCAAGATCGAAGGGCTCATCGAGCCTCTGGGTTTGAACCTGGTGCGCTGAGCATTTCGATAGCCACATGCAGCTGTCACCCTTGGGAAAGGACCAATCCGCTGGTGTAGTACGCTGCGCGTGGAGACCCATCAAAGGCGTGGCAGCAATATCTCGGCTGAAGGATGCGAAAGCGCCCCGCTGGATCCGACGGATTCCGATGGCCCAGATGGCCCAGGCTCTGCCGATCTGAGCCGCCGCGCTCTCCGGTCTTATTCAGGAAGTTGCAGTAGTGTCCGCCTGTTCTCACAACGTATGCGGGTGTACCTCCCTCTTTCTCTCGCCAGGGCTGTGGGACTAGGAGGTTGCCCCCCCCTCTCTCTCTCTCTGAGACGTTCCGTGGACCTCCGGCTCCGAAGTCGGCAATGGTCGTGTGGCATTGGCCTGGCACTATCTGGCACTCGGGTTCGGCACGGGATTAGTTGCGTGGAAACACCGAGGAAAGCCTGCTTCGACGGGCCCTTCTGAAGGCCAAAGCCGAACCCTCGCAACCAAAACCAGGTGCTGTCGCGACAGTTCAGCACTGATTGCTCTGAGGTAATCACAAGGATGCAAGCAAAGCATGGTCCAAGTGCCACGAAGATGTCAGATTTCGGACCTGGCAATACCGGTAGTGTCCAAAAGCAAAATCCACGCTTCAGTACAAGCCAGAATGGCGATGAAAGTCATGTCCGAGAATGCGCCACCGTCGTCCTCGCAACAGGGCTTGCCTACACGTTGCACCAACTACTTTACGCGAGATGTTGCTCCGAAAGTTGAACTTCATCTGTTCTGCCTTCCTCAAGTGGAGGTGGACGTGGTGCGAACTGAAGGGAAATGCATGCAAATAAAACGAATCCGCACTCACGGAAGGTTCTGTGTTGGACGAGGAGGCAGTGTTTCTATCAACTCGTCGTATGCCGTATGCCCTCTGGTTGAATTCAGCCTTGGTATCTCGATGCATCACGTCTTTCCTGCATGAGCTTGGGCTTAGGCGTGGGAGCGTTATGAAAACTGTCCCATACTTTCCAGAGTCCTCAAATTCGGTAAACCCTCGTCACCTGTTTTCGTCTGAAGGCTTTTCCTGCTTCTGGTGTATCCCGAGGTCTCCTTGTTTGTGGATGACATGGCCTTTGACCTGGTGTCCAGAAACCCTGTTGCCTTGGCCCGTGTGGGTTTGGAGCTCTACATTGACTTGAAGAACCAGGTTGAATCCTTGTTGAAATTGCGGATATCAGTGAAAAAGTCTGGCTTTTTGGTCTCGCACAAGCAGGTGCAGAGAGAGTTACAAAAGCAAATGGTGCATTGCCCTACGGTGGTTTTCCCTTCAGTGCACTACTCCATGAAAGATCTGGGGGTGCAGTCAACGCTTGGCAAGGCCCGTCGGGTCGGAGTTGCAGCTGCCAGACTGCGCAAGGGACTTGGGCGAGCTTCCAGGTTGGCCACGCTTCCTAAAAGGACCCGATTGCAGCTTTTTGCTGGCAATATCCACCCCACTGCCATGTGGGGTTCTCAAGCCTTGGGAGTTGCCACCTCCACATTGCAGCAATATCGAGTGCAGGTTGCCAAACGTGCGGGTTTTCGAAAACCCTTGGGGTGCTTGATGGTCGCGCATCGTCTTTTCATGGATGAGCATGTTGATCCCCAACATTCTGTCATTGAGGTTCAGTTGTCTACTTGGTTGAAGATTGTACGAGATGTCAAGCCGGAAGTTTTGCCCACATTAAACAAAGCATGGATGCTCCATGCTGACAAGATTCTGAACTCCAGCAAACATTGGCTGTATGGCGGAGGTCCCTTGACAGCCACGTTATGTGTTCTCAAAGACCTTGGTTGGAGTGTTCGTGCCCTTGATGATTGGCGTGATCCGCATGATGTTCGATGGGACCCCTCGGCTCGCCTGGTGACTGTGCCAGGTTGCTGCAAGTTGTGCGAATGCAACAAGAGCACCGTATGTGGGTTCAAGCATCGCGCCATCAAGGTGGTAGTGGTCTTGCTGATGGAGGTGATCTCACTGTTCCTTGCAAGCAACTGAAGCGCCTTCTGAAGCAGGGTGACCTTAAGCAATATAATGCTCTGTTGCATGTTTTTTCAAGGCACTTTGGGCACAGCTGACAATGGAATTGAGGAAGTGTGTTCTGGCTGTGGTTGTGCTTCGCCTACTCTGATGCACAAGTTATGGCAGTGTCCCTATGTCATTCAAAGGGTCGGTGCCAGAAGAGTGGAAGCCGCTCATTATGCAAACGGAGCAACAGTGCCTTTGGCTTAGAGGCTTGATGCCGAGTCGCCTTACCAAGCTGCAGGATTCATATTACCTTGCTTGGGACGGTCCGGAGGCTAGTGCAGTGGAGCGCACTGGCCTGTTTACTACGCAGTTGCTTGACATGAGCGGCCTCAAGTTTGGCACCGATGGCAGTGGAGGTTCTAGTACCAGTGATACGCGTACTCGTATGTGTTCTTGGGCTGTTGCCGTTGTCGGTACGGAAGCCCCACATCAAGTTCTGGGTACCCTAGGCGGCCCGTTGCCTGGACGCCAGCAAACGGTTTCTATGGCTGAGGCTTTTGCTATTCGTCACCTGTTGATGTTCACCACTGGCCGTGCGGAGTTTGTGACGGATGGGCTTGGTTGCTTCAGGTTCCGCAAGCTGCGCAACATGACCGAGTTTCAAATTCAGTGTCTTGCTGGTGCTCATGTCTGGGCCGACATTCAGCGGCTTGCTGCTGACCGGGATGTGCAAATATCCATTGGATGCCTGGCAAGTCTAGTACTGCTGCCACGGCGCCGGTTGATTGGGTGTTGGCTGTTAATACTGCTGCTGACCAGGAGGCTGGCAGGCAAGCTAGCAAACGCAACAGTGGAGCTCTGCTGCAGTATAGGCGTCAAATTACCTCCTTTCTTGATAGCAGGGCTGTGCAAGTTCAGCAAGATTTGAGTGCTCGGTACGTGCTTTGGCATGATCTGCTGAAATCTGCTCAGCCCCGCCCCAAGCTTGGGTGCAAACCACCTTCGTGTGTCCAGCTGGTGCAACATGCGAGGGACTTTTCAGCGCATTATTTTTATGTGAAGGGCTCGGGGCTGCTTGTACAGTGTGGGTTGGCTCTCAAAGCCAGATGGTCCCGAGCTAAGATTGAGGCTTGTTTGGCCTTACCGTGCACGGTGCGTGGTAGCTTCATTGACTTAGGTGTTCATCCGTCTCATGATATCACGGTGCGATGTAGAGCGGCGCAGTCTGTCTCCTCTTTTGTTCAGCGGAGGGGTCGGATGGGCCGGGAGTGTCGTTGAGTCTGTAGTTCAGTAGTCCAGTCTATTGGCTTTGCCATGTTTCGTGCTATCAAAAAATCTGGTGTAGTAGAGGTTGCTCTCACGCAGAAAAGCTGTTAGTTGTGTCTCCGAATTAAACGGATTTGTCACATGTGAGTCTGGCCCAGTCATGGATGTCCAGACAAGAAACGCTCATCTGGCTTATCCGACAAAGAAGCGAGCACGGTAATACATCCCAGCACCAAAAGCAATCGAATCCGACAGAAAGCTAAGCGATGAAGAAGAAATATAATCTTAGTTTGGACCTTTATTGCCGGGCGCAGCCGGTGCGATCAGGGCATTCATTCTTAACCAGGGTTGCTTAAAACTGCAATATTGCAAGGGCGGCATCCAAGAGGCCTGGCATGGCTTGGCTACAGACTTGGAGAAACTATGCAAGGCCCCCAAGGTCCCAATCACATGATTGTCAAAATCGTTACGACTGCAGCCCATCACGAACCGTCCAGCGGAGTGCCCCGAGCCAGCAGTCACTCTGGCAATTTCGAAATGCCTGTCCTCCGTTCGAGACGGCCCGGCCGCCGGTAACCTCCAAGGGTAGTCCCCAGAATCAGCTGCCTTCTGCGTCCAAATTGCGATTCTTGAGGAGCTGACGAAACGCCGCGCGTCCCATCGCGCTTGTCCGCCAACTGGTCCAGAATGATTCGCACCTGCCCAGAGCCAGGGTGCCAAGCGAAAACAGCCGGCCATGCCTCTCATCTCTCCTGCCTCGGAGAAGGCATCTGCAAACTTGGCAGCATAGTGCAGAACCTCCACCCTGCAGATGCTTTCATGCTTGGAGGATTTCCGTTTCAACGGCAGCACCCGAGATTTGCGCTATGCTTCCGACGGGGGTAGCATATGCCGCAGAACATCAGTTGACACCTGCACACTTCCTGTACACTCGAGCGACACGGTGACTTCCGGCAGCAGAGCGTATTTTGGCCTCATACAGTGCATAGCGGGAGTGATAAATTCCCGCCAGCTGGATCTTATGGGCCTGCCAAGTGATTAGAAGCCGAAACTGCAGTAGCCATTGGAAACACTTGCGCTCTGGGCGTGACCCATGTTCAGCCTCCTGGGAGACTTTGACAAGCCAGAGCATGGAGGCACCTCGATGCCGCATGATTTCGTTGTAAGACTAACGTACTTGGCGGAGTATCATCCAAACTTTGGGCCAAACCGATAGCATCGCGCAACTCGGGATAGAGACACCTGTCGGCTTCTACACGTATGGTCAGTCTTCCATATTTGCATGTCAACCTCCGTGGTAAGCATGTCAGAGCGTCCACAATCGGTCTGCTGTTTCAGAACGACTCTTGCCCAAATTGAAGTTGAGCTGTGCCAAGCTCATGGAAGACTCCAAACGTGGTTGCACGTTCTGTTTTTAATGACTCCGGGCCGTATGCATGTGAGCGTTTCGTTGTTGAGGCTCCGAGATGCTCCGAGTTGCGCGAAACTCTGGTGTCGACATATTTGTGCTCGGGGGACTCATTATCAGGAAGGGCGAGATCTTCGAAAGGGAACCTTCGAATGATGCATCTTTTGCATTCCATGCCAAGGATGTGGAAGGCTGGAAGATGGTATGGTGGGACGCCTGAAGGCTTCAGAATGAAAACAGTTTTGCAGTAGTTTGGAACACACTTTGAAGTGGCTTGGAGCGACAGTTGACAGTGTCACAACTTGGCAAGACATACGCAAGCCAGTAAAAGTACCATCAAAAGCATCATGAGGTTATCTATAGCCTGTAGCTTACAGGTGAGTAACGTTCAAGGAATCCACACGAAGTCCCCAAAAGCATCAACACCAAAAATCCCATATTCGAACAACCCGTACAAGAATAAATCACACGCGAGAGTATTATGCAAAGCCGTCTCTAACCCTCAAGAAATCGCTGCATAGCAGGAAATCCTATACCAAAGACACGAATCACATCGGAAACCTTCTGAATGCGAAATCGAAAGAATCAGACGTCTCCATAGTCTCCATGTGCTTCGAGGATCCTAGAAGCTTAGACTCGAAGGTCAAGGACCTTTTTGGAACGGAACATGTTCATACCAGTCTCTCAAGGAGGGACGGCAAACGATACGTTCTTAGGAACCTCAAGTCCGAAACCTCAACGAAATCCCAACCCAACTTTGAGGACCGACGAACCGAAGCCTCCTGTCCGAAAGCGGAACCCTCCTCTGAAGTCCGAGAAACAAGATCTGAACTCCAAAATCCGAACACGGAAAAACTGCGAAAATGAAAAGGCTAGACAGAACCCGCGCACTGGTTGCTACTACTACGACGACGACGAATATGACGACGACCATGACGGCTACTACGCTACTGCTACGACGGGAAATGTCAGCCGGCCAGGGACTAACCACAGAAATGCGCAGCAATGCAAGAGCACTTCTTCTCTTCGCAAATGGGAATGCATCTGCAGCAAATCATGTGCTGTATCCGGTACAGACATTGGCATATATACTTATGGCAGAAACGCAAACCGCTTCGCATGTTTTTGTTTGCTCTTGTCGTGGCATGGATGTACATTATACAGTTCCTACCTCGTCCACGACACACTCTTTCGAGGGTGACGCTGTCCTGCGACCACGCCCAGAGCTTGTCGTGGGGCGGGCTGGGTGGGACACGCGAAAATGCAAGCCACGGGCAAAACTGCACTGCTTCCCGACAGGAGCTGGCGAGTCACGAGTTGTTTGTGGGCGTGTCATGGCGTGTCACCTACAGGGAGGCTGCACTGCTGTTCGACTTGCCGGCAGGCTCAGGGGGTGGTCCACACCCACCAGTCATACACCCAGTAGCCGGGCCGCACATGCCGCCCCTCGATGACGACGTTGGTGACAGGGGACAATGTCGGCTCTGATGGAGCCAATGGGGGCATCCTTCCTGGGGCTGCAGCCCGGTGGCCGCCACGTCTAATGATGTACCAGATCTGTCCGGGGCTGGAAATAGTGCAGATGACTCAGAGATGACAAAGACGGTGGCTGAAGCGACACGGCCCGCAGGGCATGATGTTACGGCTTCTGACCTCGATGATATGGACTAACTTTCCGTGGCGGCGATATGAGTGTATAGTTTTGTCAGGGAGCCATAATACTTGGCGCGATGCACAGTCGCCGGACACATATTGCCTGCGAAGCTTCGCAGCGAATCATGGACGATTCGCCGAGTAAGTGAGTGAGTACTACTACTGTACTACTATTAACTACTACTGGCTGCTGCTGCTGCTGCTG